TATTTTATATATATGACTGAGTGCAGCTTCCTCTTGTTCACTGTGACCTCACCGTTTGCCGTAGTCTGAAGGACAGTCTGTGCAGCGCCATGATCTGAAGCCCAGAGGACGACATGAGTTAAAATCTTGTCCACAGACACAGAAACAACTACAGGTGATGATGTGTGTGTTCACACTGACAGCTCTCACCTTGGGTAACACACTGTTAGCTAACAGCTAACATCAGCAGCGTGAGCTCGTGCACACGTTCAGCCGCGGTTCACTTCCGTAAATCTTCACCGAGGAGAACTTCGGGTAACGTCACAAAGACATAAACCTCCTGTGGTCAGGGTTAAAGCTGGAGGTAAAAACCTCACAGCGGCAGGAGAAGTCGATATAAGTCAAACAGCCAGAGCCGACATGGGCACCGCCATCATGCAGCCCACAGCAGGAAGTGACGAAACGCTACCAAGAGTCTGTTCAGCCAATCAGGTGCCATGAGCCAGGTGACGACAACAGAGGAAAATGGAGTTTGACATGTTTCGCCTGTAATAACAATAATACCAGTTATAATAAGAATAGTAATAATAACAATCATCATAATAATGATAATTGACTGATGACAGCTGTATTAAGTGGAGATGTTCAATAAAACTAAAGCTACTGAACACTAAACAAGGCTGTTTTGACTGGAGCCCAGTGAGATTGTTGTTTTATATCTATTTTTACTTTCTAACACAAATGCCTATTTGTTTTTTTTCTTTTGCCTAAATGTAATAAGTTTGTAAATCTGTTTATGCTTTTTTATTACTTGCACTATGCTATGTCTCTAAATATATGAAAACTAAGCATTTCACTTCAGACTGTGCTGTGTGGGAATCTGTGATACAGATGAATTCTTTCAAATAATCAACTCAATCAATTTCAAAACGTGATATGTGTCATGAAGTTTCTTTTCGTTTTAAGTGTAGCCTCAAGAGCCTTTTTTATTTCTCAAGTTTTAATTTTATTAGAGCCACAGGCCGATGATGGCTAATAATAGGGTTTGTACTTGAGCAACTTAAATCCTAGGGACCTGCAAGATCTATCTTGGAGAAAAACCCTAAATCGATAATTAATGCTTTAATACTTTAAAATTCAGGGAATAATGCCCTTAGATTATCCATATTCTTAAATAAATTGTTTATTTCATTAAAATATTTTGTATCTATTGGGCACACTGAGCCTGTAAGTGGATGTTTACCGGGTAACATTCATTCGTGTGAATTTAATGGGGAATTTGGAGGTTACAGAGCACATATGATGCACAGAGCACAGGAGGAATCTGGGGCAAGTAGAGACCTAAAAGCATGAGTCTTTGTCCTGGGACCCCACAGTGAGTTATTCTGGTCCTGTGCACAGACAACAACAACTACACAGCAGCAACAGAGGTGTTACTAGAATCAGAACAATTTAATAGAGACCACACAAACAAGTTGATGGAATTCTTTTTAGGTAGATGATGCAAAAGCTCATGTCGACAATAAAAAATTACAAACACTGACATAGACAGCGGCGTCAGTACACAGTGCCACTGGATGATATATGGACAAGACAATATCCCATACAGTTACATAGTAGAAGAAGAAGAAGAAGAAGATTTACTTTTATTCTCATGTTTTTTACACACTATTACATGCATACATGAAATTCATCCTCCGCATTTAACCCATCCAGTTGGCACCTGTCGAAACACGCACATGCATAGGGACACACATAGACAGATGCCATGTACACACATATACTGGATCGGTGAACTGCCGTTGTCAGAGTAGTGTTTAAGGTGCATGTACATTATGATTGTTCTTGGAAAGTACTGCTATAAGTACTCAATACCACTAATTATAACAACAATAAATAAATGTTCTATATTCTTCTACTTATCCTTATAATGATAATATTGCTTCGATCATTAATGTTTATTATTACTTTATTCTAATCTTTAAAACTAGAATGAGTATGAATACTAAAAATAGGCAATGTTTTGTTCACATCGATCACATTAATTTAGTTATTTCAAGTGCATGAAAAACTTGCACTTGATCAGTCTTTTCTGTGAAACTGACACACGATGATCAGATTAACTTTTTAATAAGTGCTCAGTCCAGAGCTGCCCCCCCCCCCTTTCCTCCCCTCTCTGCTCTGAAGCTCCAGTTACATTACACCATGCAACTTTTCAGCTGCTCTCTCACAATCCCTCCAGCCAACCTATTTTAGCCAAGTCGTCGCCATTTTATTAAGCGTCTAAATAGCCCTCCCCGTTCGCCTGTTATGAACCACAACGAGATCCTGTGCCGTGTTCACCGTTTAATCTCGTCCTCTGCCTCTGACCACATGAAAATGGCCACGCAGTTACATTCCCGCACAACCAGGCAACCTCTCTCTGCTCTGGTAACCACACACACACACATACACGCACGCACACATGCACACACGCACGTTGCTGCAGCCTTCAGCAGCGCGTCGTCCTGACACGTTAACAGCCTGTGCGCAAATACGCAAGCGGCACAATCTGAGCCATTACTATCGCGGGCGGGAGCGACGTAACTTTCCCCGAGAGAAGAAGAAGAAGAAGGAGAAGAAGAAGTGGTGGCAGGACAAAAAAAAACCAAAAACCCACAAGCAGCTCCAGTGTAACCAGTCCGCCACCTAGCTGCAGAGACGCGCCGACTGTCGACTGTATGATTATGAAAACACCCGCGCCAATGTTGTTGCACAGCGGGCTCCGCGCTCAGATGGCTCCGAAGCTCGGCGTTAGGAGGTGTTTTAACCTCCGCTGGCCTCACTTATGCAATCAAAGCAACGTGTAATGCACCAGGAGCTGTCGGCGCGAAGAAGAAGAGGAAGAGGAGGAGAGGAGAGCAGGACAGCAACACCTTCACCTCCTCCTGCCTAAACGCAGTTGGCTCCGGGACGCGCTCTCGGGTAAGTAGCCTACGTAGCCTTATTACGGATTGTCATGGCAGTGCGCGTGAATGTGTGCAGGCCTGACATCAACACAACCAAATCACTGGAGGTTACGGGGATATGTTTTGTGTGTGTGTGCATCCGCTTTGCGCTAATTTTATCCCTTGTTGCTGAGTGTATGTATGCCCCCCCCCTTCTCCGTGCCTGGTAATATTTCTTATTTCAATGTTGCTGACACCAGCAGAAGAGCCAGCAGAGGACAGACGGGTAGAAGAGAGGGAGAGAAAAAAGGAGAGGTGTCTAGGGACTAATCCACAACACAAACCCTGCAAGAGCAAGCACATTTTCATGCTACGTACACCGCCCCCCCCCCTCCTAATCCACTTCCATGTTGAGTTTCAACGTGCAACTATGAGTGTGTGTGTGTGTGTTGAGAGAAGCTCGGATGTGCGATGTATTTCTTGATGGAGGTATAGGAGTGACGACAACAACAACACGTGCATGTGTGTATCATTTGTAAGTGCGACAGCAGAGTGATTTTCAGCGGGTGCGCAAAGTCATCATGGAGAAGGGAGCTCCTGTTGACGTGCTCAGTAAACCAGCGAGAGGCTGCTCCAGTGCGGTTAACACCCCCACTGCTGCCCGTACTGTATCTACAGTAGCAACATCAGTCAGCCTACGCAGCTGCGACCTGGGTACACAATGTACGACCAACACACTTTTAATACACCAACTAATGTGTGTGTGCCTGCGTGTGTGTGCGCGCACGCGCGTGTGGTCCAGGTCTGTTTACTCAGTCACATTATGGAGACTTGGCTTCCTTCTTCTAATTCTAAGGTGACATGACTTAAGGTTCAGGTTAAGTTTAGGTTAGGGTAAAGGTAAGGGTTGATGGTAAGGCAAGTTAAGTTAGGGTTAGAGGACGAGGCAAGGGGTTATGGTTAAGGGCTGGGGTAGGGGGTTAAGGTTATGGTTAGGGGACAGGCCAAGGGGTTAAGGTTAGCATTAGGGGATGGGGCAGTGGGTTAAGGTGAGGGTTAGGGCACAGGGCAGGGGTTTGGATATGGAAATTAAAAAAAAAAAAAAGAAGATAGGTGGGTTAATTGGTTCATATACAATCCAAATTAGGTTCGATTAGAGTAAGGGTTAGGATTAGGTTTGCATGTAGGGTTTGGATTAGAGTGAGGCAAGTAGTAGCCTAATTACAGATAAGGTTAGAGTAAATCTCCAGCAAATGACTTGAGACTTGTCTTCCTTATGGGGACAAAAATCAAGTACCCATAACATAAATCGTTAAATTTCAAGGTGAGGCGTGCGTGTGCGTGTGTGTGTGTGTGTGTGTGTGTGTGTGTGTGTGTGTGTGAGGAGGAGGGAGACTGAAGTGCGAAACATCCTCGTACATATGGAGCATCACCTACTGTGTGAGGCTTCATGGTTCATATGTGAGATGCCAACACAGCAGCCTGATTTCCAGGGGGCAGCGCGGCCGTGCTCCTGCTGTTGTCAGGCAGATGACTATAGTGCTGTAGTTATTGATGATAACACCGTCATGGGATGCTGATGTTGGCTGGAAATATGGTGGGCCATTATCATGATTTAATCGTCGCCTCAGCGCTGCCAAGGAGCCAACATGGACTACAGTGTCAAGTCCACCCATCATCCTGTCACTGGGAAAAGCTTCTGCTCTAATGTTAGAATAATTCTGAGTTATGTTTCAGAGGTATAGCTGTAGAGAGTATAAAAAGCTATTAGTATGCACTTTGACTCACGTTGAATGGACTTGTCCTTTTAGGTTTGCAAACCTGCCACTCTAATTCTGTTTTTAGAGTCACTTTGCACAATTTGATCATAACTCGTATGACTCCAGCTTCTCCTCATGCCCTGATTCCTCCTCAGTTTGCACCTCTTAATACAGGTCAGGCTTCTGGAGCAGAGGTCATGATAAAAAGTGGCCGCTGTGATTTAAGAGGAACACTGTCCATCTCTGTGCTAATTTTTATTTCACTGTGAGGAGGAGGAGGTTTGGCCTTGGAAATGCTTTCCAATACGGTTGCATAACAGCAAGTTATTGAAACAGATGTTGATTTGAGCTCAGTGTGACTCAAGGAAAAAAGGTTTGGGTGTGGGGGGACCAGGAGGCACGAGAGATAGCCCACTGAGCTCTTGAATGAAAATATTATCCAAGATGCTGTTCTAAGTTTAAGGGGGCAGATTGACGTGTTGAGAGACAGATGAACTATTTCATAAGAGGCTCTCAGGAGCAATTTGCAGGAATGCTTGGCAGGGTGTGTTTGATTAGAAAACGGATGAGTGTCTTTCTAATGAGAGAGAATAATGAAGGAAGTATGACAGGAGATGCTGCTTCCCTATCCCTCAGATACGTTGGGTCGAAAACTGGACTGAACATGGTGCGAGTGAGAGTGAAAGTTTTCCTGGTGAGGAGAATGTTATTTTAGGGTGTGTTGCTCTGCTGCAATGTCACATTAAAAGTCCATTTACAATGGGGTCAATGAAAAGCTTACTTGACTTAGAGGAAGCAATGGGAGGAGGAGGAATTTGCACTCCTTTCCAAA